GGGGGGGGGGGGGTGGAGTAGGGGGAAAAAATAAAGATAAAAAGAAGTATGGGAAAGGTAACGCCAAATACTACTTCTTTGCAGAAGCTGGAGGGACTTTCCAGACATATTCACCATCTACATGAGTAAGTAACACAGGAATCATTCTTCTGCTCTGGACTGCAGTGGCGCATCCTCCTTTGCACCTTCTCCTAGGCAAAGTCTCAAGGAAGACTTCAAGCACGTACCTAACTGCAAATCCACAGTTGAGGTCCTGCTGGCAGCAGAACTAGGGAAATGCCACAGGGCTTGCTGAAAGTGAAGTGGATGTTGAGGTGTTTTGGCTGAACCAGCAGGTTTACTCAAGTCCCGGTGAAGGCAGAAACCGAGCCAAATCCCCACCAGCATCGACAGAGAAACCAGCACATTCTCAGCCCTGCACTCTCAAATTTGGTTACCCATTTATTAACGTGATCATAGTTAACTTCTGGTTTCCAATGAACCAATTGTGACCAGAGGAGCAGAATCAAGTTTTAAATCAATTCAAAAACATTTCCACAAGATTGAGGGAAGAGTCTTTGACTTTGCTTGCGTTTCAGACGAGAGATGCAGCTTAGGTTTTAAGACCAAATATCTCATGTTCAGAGCTACTGTCCTATCCAGGTTTTTTCAAAAGATGACTAAAAATTTGTAAGCTAGTTGTTAATCATTTACCAAAATAGTAATCCTTTTCAAAAGTTGACGAGTATTGGCATCAGCAAGAACTGCTAGATGCTATTCCCAAAAGGGCTTTAATTATGAATCGAAAGGGGATAAGTTTTTTAGTCTCCTGTTTTGAAGAGCTTAGTCTTTTGAAAGCTCTTTTCGCTGTACCAGCCTGCAGTCCGTGCTCGTCACAGGGGTGCTGCTCGGCCACTAAATGCAAAGGCTGTTGTGTGCGTGAAATGGTTGCAGAAACGGAGCTTCTGCCAACAGGGCTGGAGAGCGGTTTGGGTATGCAGCCTCTATTTACGATCCTCTTCAAGTGCTCAGGTTTTAAGAGGACAGTACGTTTCTTTTTGTAAACTAGCAAAACACTCAAGCCTGTGTCTGTCAAGGGAGGCATTTTAAAGAGATCAAACCCTGCTATTAATCAACCTGGTTTTCAACCCTGAAATGCCAGCTCCAGCTTCTCCTTGCTCTATCTTCGGCATCGAGCATCTCACTGTGCACTCCGAGAGTTGCTGCTGAAGAGCCAATCTGTTGCCAACTCAAAACTCATGGCCCCACGTAGGAAAATCCTGATATGCTCCTAGAATCATCTCTCAAAATGGGACTTACACATACATTCAGCTATTCTGAATATACCCAGCCTAGTTTTGCTCACTTAAGAATACAGATTGGAGCAATTCCAGTTCGTTAGTACAGATTTAAACCAGTTTAATGCAGAGAACAACTCCAGCCCTGAACATCAGATATCCACATAAATACCTGACCAGGTAACAGAGCTAATCACTGGCATTACATTTAAGAAGTGGGAACACAAACGACAAATCTCCGATAACAATCTCATCTCCGCAGTACCACGCTGAGCAATCAATACTAATTATGAAGAAATATCTGAGCATATGAGAGGCGCCACTATTGCCACATGAAGCAGGGCTTCAAAGTTTAAAACAAGTGCTGCTGACAGCTAAAACGGAGACTCCCACATTACCAGCACTTTGGTGGTAATGACAGTGGGCTAATAGAATCAAAGACTCATAATGCTGTCAGAAAGCAGGTTCAGGTTACTCGCTTGTTCTTAAGCTGTTATTAGCTATTATTAGCAAAGAGGAAAAACACAGGGGCTTAAACTTTTTAAAAGCAGAGGATTATCAGCCCTTCCACTATTAAAAACAATTTCTCAATTTACGAACTTTTGGGGCTGGCAGCTGTTTTATTTAAGCGTGTAACCAGCTGCCCTCTTCTGCTTCCCTGCTGCCCCTTGAACTCAAAAGCATTTTAATGTCACCTAAAAAAACCAAGAGAGTAACATTTCTAACAACCTGCAGTTCCTTGGATAGTTCCAATAATCATACCTAGTTAAAGAAAGCTTTTCAAGGGCCAAATACTTCTTTAACCATTTAATTGATATGACCTTGAAGCATTCACAGCAATCTCCAGTAAGGTTCAATGAAAAGCAGATGTTGGTGAAGGCTTGCTGAAACGAGCTTTTATTCTCACGATGGTTTGATTCTCTCACTTACACAAAATCCTATTTCTGGCACGAGAAAGCCCTTTATGGAGTGGATGTGATTTACAATCACAAACATCTCTGGGTTTGGTTTTCAGACCGAGCCCCTTGCTTTTCGACGGAACTCAACTTTTGGAAGCAAGGACCTACTGTTTAGGGATGCTTGATAAAACTCCAACAACACAAGGGCAAAGCAAAGTTTTCAAAACCTTAGATCTACAAGGGGTTAATTCTGAAAATTCAGCCTTTTAATCTATGTGATCGGGAGGTTTTCTATCTGCTTACCGTGATGACTATCCATTTACCAATGCAGCAGCCTGCAATCATGGAGATGAACTCAGTGTTAGCAGTTAGCTATCTGGGAACAACAGATTTTTCTGGCACTCTCTGTTTAGTGAACCAGGCTTGGACAGCTTGTAGCTGTTCTGTCCCACTGTCCTAATCACAGAAAATATGGCCAATGACAGCATGTGCTTTGCTAACACGGCACTTGTTTGCAATATATGAAACCCAGCAAGTACCTTTGATGAAGCACGTATTTGAGATACGCAGTTTACAGATAAGCTGCTTCCGAAACAAACCAGTAATTTGTGATAACTGGAATGAAGAGATTTATCAGCTACAATAGGAAAACAGTTTTCAGGAACTTCCAGCTTTTACATGCAATTTTGCCACTGATTTGTCACATAAAGTGAGAAAAGTCACTTAACCTCCCTGAGCCACAGTTCACTCACTCACAAAAGACTTCAAAGGCACATGTAGCATTGCATCTATTTGAGTGTTAAGGGGGATTTGGGGTTTAATCTGACTAGCACCGTTTCTAAGTCTCTCTCGGTATTAACATCAAGCTTTAACATTTGGTATGGGCATGCAAGCATTCTTCAACTGGTTTGTTTTGTCAGTCTAATCACTGTGAGGAGTTACCAGGGAGGTAGAGACCTACCAAGTACGGAAGAACACCACAAAGCAACAGCCGTGCTGAATATGTGAAGGGGCAAAAAAAAAAAAAAATTTGAAAAAAAAATCACTGAGGCAGCTATATTTCTCAACGTACCTGTAACTCTGACCGTAAAGTTCCCCAGGACCTCGTTGGAATGCCGTGGCTTGCAACTGTACAGCCCTGAGTCATCATAGGACACATTGATTATCTTCAAAAGTTTTTGTCCAATATGAGTTCTGTTGGTAGGTGCAATCCCGATACCATCTTTAAACCAGAAAACAGACACAGAAGAGCCTTGGGTGTTACAGGAAAGTTCAATGGTATCTCCACTTCCAAACACCAACTCTTCCAGAAAGGCGGTCTCGCTCCTCAAGTATTCTGCAAATGGAGAAAGAAATGGAAATGAATAAATAAGAGCAGGTGTCAGAGAATGAAAAAGCACTTCAAAAAGAAACTTATATTTGCCCTACTGATGCTTCCACGTGCCCAGAGCACCTCCTTGCCAGAGCTGAGCCCCGCCTGCCCCAGGCAGGTGGTAATGCACAAAGACAGCCGGGCACCCTACAGTCAGGTCTCTGGCTGATCTACAAGGATGGCTTCTACCCGTAGGGACCAACACATGGCCACCCCACCAGGTGCACCACAACAAACAGCACGGACCTCTATGCAGGGTCACTGCAACACCCAGTGTTGTGTCGGGGAGGTGATCTGGCAGAAATAAGTATGTGTGCCGCAAAGTTCACAGTTCAGTCTCTGGATCTCGATTTCTTTATTCCTACTAGTCTGTCCACAACCCCTGTGAGACCCAGCAAGAAGTGGACACAAGGAGCAGAAATAGGGATAAACCCAAATTCTTAAGTGACTCTGGGTGGCCCAAAGGCAACCTCTGTGGGCTGAAGGAAACAAGGGAGAAGGGACAGAAGACACAGGGTGGAATAACTAAAATAAATGAACCCATCACCAGCTCGCTGGAGTTACTCTGTGCAACAAAGAAATCCGGAACCAAAGACCGAAATCCCTATTTCTTCAGTCTATCTACCAGCTACGGCAGTTTGTTTCACTAGTGAGGACAGTGAACCTTGCCGCTGGCTGGAGAATTTTGTTTTACCGTAGGATAATGACACAAGGAAAGGTTTAAGCTCAGAAGTCTCCCCACGGAGGAATGTGGGGCATGTTGAAAGCGTGGTTCTTGCATCTGATGGTCCTCAGGCTCATTTTAGTGACATATAAACTCACTCTTGACACTGAATGGTTTATTCATCCTTTATACCAGTTTAATGAAGAAGAATTAGCCCTCTACAGCTGCCCTCAACCCAGTGGATCAGCAGCAAGACTGCCATTCTCCTATGCTAACCAACGTTTTCACTTGGCATTGCCCTGTATCTTCTGGCTTACACCTGCTCTGAGACTGTACGCTCTGCCAGGAGTAAGAGTTTTCTTGGTTTTGTACAATGTGTATCAGGGGGGATCCTATTCCACGTTGTGGTGCTACGATTATATAATTAACAAGTAAAAAGTAATTCAAAACAGATCGGCCTGAACTTAATCCCATGATCCAAACCCAGATGGCCTGAATTGATCTCTGATAGTAATCAGATATGGATAGAGATCCTAATTTTGCAGCTTAAGCGTATTCATAGATCACAACCTGACTGTGAAACCAATGCAATTTCAGCAGCTCTGAATACCCGAGGATGTGGCATTGGCTTGAAGCTGCTCTTCTGCCATTAAGTGAAAAGGTTGGAGCAGGTTATAAGAGAAAAATGTATTGCTTTTTACTTCTTGCCACGCACGTTTTTATTCTTGTGGAAATGTAAAAATATAAAAATGTTTCAGTCAATAGCCTTGCAGGGTAGAAATGAAGAATCCTGGAGGCCTGAAAATGTGGTATTTCATGGGAGGTATCGTCTCACAGGAGGCAAAGCCCACACTCATTGGGGTTACAAAGAACCTTTCCTGTGATACCCTGGCAGCCATTCCAACTCAAATATTTTAGGGTTTGGCCAGAATTTTGTGGTATTGGTACAGTCAAAGGTTTAGGGTGGTTGGTTGGTTGTTTTTTTTTTTTTCTTTTAATAAAAAGATTTTCCCTGAAAGTGCATACTTTTAGTAAAAAGAAGGCAAAGCTCCAGCATCTCCTTCCTATCAGATCAGCACCTGTTGCGACATTTGAGCGTTCGCCCATGGTCTCTTCCCAACTGGGATATATCCTTGGGGAAAATACTGTTGAGAAATATTCTAGTTTAAGTGTTCCTTTCAGGTTTTTTTCTTCCTTCTTCTAGACTGTAAGGATTTTTTCAATGGTACCAACTTTGGCTTCCAATTAAAAAGCCCTCTATACAGCTTTGCACTTGCAGGATTGGGTGCTGATCTTTATTTGTTGACTCTGATGGAAGCTCTTGCTAATTTAATCTACTGGAAAACAAACCCCATGCAGCTGCAGAGTTCTGCCACACAAAATACACAGTTTTACCCAAGCTGTTTGCCAAATGATCAAGACTTGTATATTTTGGCTTTTGTATCATAAACCTACCAAACAGGAACAGGCCCAGACTAAGCAGAAGCCAAACTGTACTTTTTAGCCATTTAAAAGGGAATCACTCTTTTTTGAAAGCCATATCAAACCTGGGTTAATGACAAAGCAACAAACTATTTTTATAAAACATAATTAATGAATGCTGAAATGAAGAGGAAATTCACTTTAGACTCAGAGCAGAACGATTGGGGTCTGAAGCTTCTTCTGTGGAAAGAAGCATCATCTCTTGTTTCTGACAACTTTATTTTGGCATCTCTGCCCTCAATCTCCCCAGCTGGTCTCCAGCAGATATCCTAATGACTGTTAAATGCTAACTTCAGTCCCACTGACTTTATTCCTACTGATTGGGAGTAATATATGCAAAGATGGAGTGGCGAATTAAAAGGAGAATGTTACTCACGGTTATAATCTCACTTCTTTAACCAGTTTTTCAAATTTCAGTTTATATGTCTACGGCTTAAAAAAATAAACAGGACCCAAATTGGAGACCTCCACAAAGTACTTAAATGTGCACTTAATTGCTTAAGCCCTTTGCTCAACTGCAACCTTGGAGAATGAAATTTTACTATTATTATTCCTCACACAGCTTTCAAATATGATGATAAATGTAACAGTCTCATTTCCTTGCTGAGAACAGCTGAAGTTCAAAGCAGGGAACCAGAGCTCACGTCTCCCACCGGGTGCCCAGAGCCCAGAACATCCTTCCCACCTTTCAGCTGCAAGTGCCTCGTGTTTCCAACACCTCCTCAACAAGGACAGTTCCTCCACTACCAAGACATGAAGGAGACGTGAAGTTGTCCTTCCTGAGGCCAAGCATCCAGCCATCAGATTGACTTCTTCAGCTGCGGGGAGGCAGGCTTTCACATTTACTGGCCCTACGAACACACATCTCCCACATCTCAGTCCTGTGTCCTAAGAAAACCATCCTTGCTGCTGGCAAATGGCTATCCCCATGTGTCATTTAAAACCTTCCTGAAGCGTTTCTATTGCAAGTCAGGTTGCAAAGGTCCCCCCCCCCAGCTCTCCCAAAGAAAACTCCCATTTGGGATCTAGTTGACATGAACAGCATCTTTTCAAAATCCGCAGTAGACAGGTATAAATTACTGGGGAGTTAACTCATGTAGGGGTTACGGAAGCCCACTCTGCCACTTGCCAGCAGAGCAGGGATTAATGAGTTTGCAGCTTTAATGGGTTCTTAGAGAGAAGGAGGCAATCTAGGTTGTGGGCTCCCAAGATATGACTAAAATTCAACCATTTATTAGTTTAGCCAAAGCAGTAATGAGTTGAGAATCACCAAGAGACGCTTCTGATGGAGATCAGCACTTGCAGCAGCATCACTGCTGCTCGTAGCAAACATGCCACAGAGAGAGGGGCAATTTTTAAGCTGTTCAGAGGAGCAAGAAGGCAGCAACTAGCCAGGAAGCACCTTCCACAAGGAGGAGCTGGCCCAGCAATGCTAAAATGCTTTTGTATGTATTCACTGATAAGGATAAGATACTTCATCTCCATAGCTGTTTGGCTCATCCCAGCAATAATTCACTTTCTGTGTGGTTCGCAGCTCCAGCACTTAAGTGTGTCAGTATTTCCATCAGATGTCTGTTCCTCTTTGACATCAATACTTGTTTCTGGCTGAGCCTGGAAATGTTTTATTTTGGTTTTAACATAGGCAGCTCTCAAGAACTGCAGGAGAATATGCAGTTTTTTATTTTTTAGGTGCAAAAGGATGAGAAGGTGAAGGGTGGCAGAGTATTCCTGGGCTGCTTATGGCCTCCCAAAAACTTCAAGCCAACCTAGAGGCTGGCTGGTGCCCTCCTCGGTGTCAGGGACTATTTCCAGGTGCTGTGGCAGGAAGCACGGTGCCCGTGGGAGGCTCGATGGGGTGCAGGAGCCCTGGGGCCCCACAGCACCTCACAAGGTGCTGGGTCCTGGCTCCAGGACAGTCCATCTGGTTATTTCTCTTCACCTATGTTTTTCCTCCTGGAATAGCTTCCCACAATTCTGCTTTTCCAAACATCAAAGTGTTTGGAAGCCTCCGGAGGGACTGCTCAGGCAGGTACACACCTCCCCCATCATTATCATCATCGTCATCATCCCACTCCAGCGAGCATCCCGCAGCCAGCACACATCACCACACAACCAAAACCCACCGGGACTCCCACCACAGATGGCTCAAGACACACAACCTTCAGTATCACCAGCAAAATATTCCTCACTCCGCCCTCAATCCTGGCAATCCAGGAGAGGCTTTTGGGGATTGCTTCACAGCCCAGTGGTGGAATGGACTGAGAGGCTCATTTCTAAGTAAGTGGATCACATTTTTCCTCTTTCAAGATGGACAAGCTGCATTTGACATGTTAACATACAGAAAGATAGCAGCACTCCACGCACTCCTCTCTTCGGATTAATTTGAAAATGTTTCTTGTTCTGTGTATTTTATTGTACCAAATCTACCATGATAGGATATATTATAGGATCACAGAACAGCAACCGTGCCGGAGCTTTCTCCTGTTGAGCTTGGTACCTCATTCCCAGGGGGATGGTGGTTACAGCCACCAAGTTGGTGGCTAACTGCTGTAGGGATATGGAAACCCCCCCCAGCCCCAGCATCGCTGGGATGAATAAGGCCATGATGGTAAAGAGCACACAGACTATCTCCAGGCTCAGACCTGGAGCCGTGTCCTCTAAACAAGTGTCCCACCTGTGTTAAAAGGGGCCCACAGTATTATTCACCCCCACAACAGTGTTTTTCCCAATATCTGTGTCACTGCTCATGGGATGGGGCCGCTTCCTCACCTCACCTCGGGACTTCTGCACGAGGAAGAGCAAACCCTGCTGCCCAGAA